TGCCTTTGTACCTACAGCAGTGGACGTCATTTGCATACCATGGGGCAGCCTCTAGGCCCGCGGACCACGTAGTGACGCTGGTGTAGTTCGTCCTGCCACGTGTCGCATACATACGTCGCGCATGACACGCAAAAGAAGATGAACCTGCAGTGAATGTTCTATGTTATCAACAGTATAAAGAAAGAAAGAAAGAAAGAAAAAATGTTTATTCAGTATCATCGACAATACACTTACAATACTTATTATTATTTAATGAGAAGGTCACTTTTATTTAGTCGCTTTACATTGACTGTTATAACTTAACCTTAACTTAACCTTTTAACCCTACAGTGGTCGCGTGGATTACACCCGTAATCCACTCGTGCAAATTGGCGAATATTTTGAAATCGGTCAACGCGATCGTTTTGATACTTCGTGTACTTTAAGTTGCATAGTCGAAGATCACACTTAATGACATGTGAGCGCCAGGTCGCTTGTGGATGTGTCGCAGGAGCCCCGTAAATGCCAATGGTCTACCCGTGTAATCCGCGCGACCAATTACGTAAGTATTTTTAAGTAACCTTTTTTACTTAATGTGTTTGTTTTTGCATTATTAGTGTAAATTAATGCTTTATAATAAATAATTACGGCATAGGTATGTATTTACATTTGTGTTTTCAATAAAATCATTGTATTTCAGATAAAAATCATGAACAATAGACAAAAAGCACAAATTGCAGAATGGCTAGAAGTAACAATGCTAGAAGTAATGACAATGAAAGCGTATCTTCTAGCGACTCTTCGGTTTCTGATGAAGAAGTGCACATTCTTCCACAAGAGAACAAGTTTCTCAGACGAGTGATTAGCCATCTAACTCAGAACCATCACAGCGGAGGTTTTTAGGTCGCTACTTTGACTGCGGAAGAAAGCGAAATAAAAGTTCTGGAAATACTTGTAATTCGTGCAACAAATTTATTTGTCCTTATCATTCCATGATGACCTGTATCTCTTTTTAAAATATAATTAATAAATAAGTGCAATTAGTACTGAATCATTTCTGAACTGCCAAAGTTGACATTTTATTGATGAAAAATGATGATTTTTATGTTTTGGTTAATTTATAAAAACTGAGAAGAACTTCTCGTTTCTTTGTTTGATTATTTCATTAACTAATACATAACAATAAATATAAAAAATAAAGAAACATGTTTTTATAAAGAGATGTCTTCTTTTTTTACTCCATAAAATGGCTTACGCATGTAATCCACGCGACCATTTACGTAATATTTTAGAGCGCGACCACTGTAGGGTTAAAACTTGAGTAGACCATTCTGAGCCCCGATTACGGTAACTTTTAACGTTTCCAATCCAGACGCGCTTCCGATTCTGCGATACGATTGGTCAAAACAGCTGACGTACGCTGTTGAACGACCAATCGTATCGCAGAATCGAGAAGCGTGTCTGGATTGTAGACGTTAAAAATTACCGTAATCGGGGCTCTGGCTCACTTGAAAAGTCACAGTCGTCACATCAAGTAAAAAATATTTATTTTAATTAAACATATTTATGTTTATTCCTGTCACCTTAGATTTATTAATCTAAGCCTGTCACATAAAAAAATTAAATCTATACAAAATATTATAAATGCGAAAGTAACTGTCTGTCTATCTTGCTTTCACGCCTAAACCACTGAACCGATTTTGATGAAATTTGGCATAGAGATAGTTTGAGTCCTGGGAAAGGACTTGGGATAGTTTAGTGACAGTCAAAATTCCACGCGAGCAAAGCCGCGGGCGTTAAAGCTAGTAGTTAAATACCAAAATAATAATAAAACTTTATATCGAAATCACAGTAACTTACGGTATTGTATCTTCAGTGTGTTTTTTTTCACCTGTAACAAAAATAAAATGCACAATTTACACACACTGAAATGAGTGAAAATAACAGTTGGATAGGTATCAAGATAAATTCTTTTGGTTTAAAAACATATTGTTCTTCCAATTATTAAATTCCTGTAGTTTGAGTTCAAATAGAATATTTTATAACATTGTATCTCAGTATCTATCATCAGTATGGCGATTATCACACTGCACCGCGCTCCGCCGCGGTACGCGGGAGGACAGAATTAATCAATATAATAGGGATGTTTCCTGGGTCAAAAAGCAAGAGTTTTAATTAGTCCGTCAGTTAACTTATCAAAAAATACTCTACACGTATTTTTCACTTTTTCAAACTAATGAAAATTTAAAGAGATAAAGCGCGCCAAAGTTCATAAGAAGAGGCCCGTGACGTCAATGCTTGCATAAAAGTGCCGCACGTTGTGACGTCGTGCGGAACTTCAACTATGTAATTATTTGTTAGATTGACAAATAAAAATATATGTGTCCAATATTTTTTGATATTAAACATGACGGACTAAAAAAATTTTTTTAGGAAACTAGCCTATTATGCAAGTACCTCAGTTTGTATAGAAAACACGCGCGGCACAACACACTGACAACGCGTTTGCGCCCGGGCCGGTCGCCACGCAGACCGCGGTGCCATGATATTACTTAAAATTTCGTTTGTGATATATATTATAATTAAATGGTGGATTAATTCACTATTTCACTGAGACATATCCAAAGAATGTATGCCTACCTGGCAAAGATTGATTTTGATAGTGTTCTGGAATAGCGTGCCTTAAAAGAGTCGTCCTGGCTCCTTTATGGTTGCGGACATGTTTTTGGTCGAAATGATCAACACATAAATATCTAGCCCGCAATCGTTGAGTTGCCATATTGGCTAATTGCATGTTACCTTAAATAAAATTAAAATTTGAATAAGATTAAGCAAAATAGTACACTTGAAGCTCACACTTGCTCATCAAGCTGTAGTTAAACTTAAAGTACGGCCAACGAAAAGCGATACCAAAAGTAAACAAACCCAATGTCATGGTCATTTGAAATAGCAGGGGTGCATAACTTTTTAATAGATTCCATATTTTTGTAGACAATATAGTTTTAAAAAATAACTGTCAATCCATAAAAATAGATGTTTTATCGAATTTTGTTTTTGTTATAATAATTTGAATTATTGTATAATGTAGATTTCAATTAAATAACAACAATAATAATAACATTTCTGCCTCACAATGTGCCCGGTGTATAGCAACAGGCTTACCCCTTTTTCATAGACTTTAATAAATCGGAATAATAAAATAAGAACCGACAAGTAACAGATTCGCCCTCGTGAATTGCAAAACTTATGTATACTAACATAGATGTCCGAATGTTGACGAACCCTTCTAACTTTGACATATTTTGGCGGGAGAAAGAGACAATACGACAAATACACAAGATGGGAAGAGACAGAATAGATTGTCAATTCGACCTTTTGTATCGCTGCTAGTTGGCCGTACTTTAGGTTGTGTATTTTTTTTATTTTCTGTAAAGACCTATTATAATAGTGAACAAAACAAAATAAAATAAAAAGTTCACTTATCCCCGTTAACGGGGATTGTCGACGGGGAATAGTAGAATAAGCCAAAAAATAGGTGTTTCTGTTTTTACTTTTCTTAACAAACTAAATGTAATATTTTTAAGAGCATCCTGTTTATCGGCCCTCTCTGTCATTTTCACATTATTTACATAAGCTGCTGGATGTGACGTCCTTGTACACAGATGCACTGTCTGGCACGATCGATGCCATGCCTCCGGACCGCACCGAGCACTTCGGGTCCACTTGACATAACATCAAAAAATCTAGAAAACTAGCATTCTAAAAATATGGTTGTTTTATCTAAAACAAATTTATTTATGATGTTTTAATTGTCCCTTAAATCTCGTCTGTCTTTTGGAGGTGAACTTAAATTTGTCCCATTAAAGAAATAAATCATCATCATAATTTTATTATTATTAATCTTGATGAAATTAAATTACCTAAAGATGTATGATGAAGTATGTAAACGTTTGCTTACCACAGTTATTTAACCATAATTTTAATCGTTTTGGTTCCTTCCAAGGGAATCGGAACATTGACTTCATATTTGACACATTTGTACACCTAAAATAGGAGCACTTATGCGGAGGCATGTCTTATGTCCTTTTTCACGAGCCGGGTCTTCGTGCAAGCTGAGTGCAAGTTCCACGGGTTAGCCAATGGTCAGTAAGATTAACAGCAGTGTCGGAGTCCAGATACGTAGTCAAATTAGATCAAGAAAGAACGTCCAATCGAAGTCCTTAGTAGTCAAAATGGAACTCGGAGTCGGAGATAAGCTGAGTTAAGTTAAACCAAACCTTAAGAGACCGTAAGGACCTTTGGCCGTAAGGATATTTCTTTGTATTTTCGAGACTGAAATCCACCTGAAAATTAAATGGAAAATGCACGGAAAACGACAACAAAGTGAAGGCAGTATCTCACATAGAGAAAAGTAATACATAGGAAATAGAGAACCCTCTCTGTCAAATTTTTGAGCCTACTAATTGATAGCCTGGTGTTAAATTCCCTGTACTTAACCTACGTACGTAACGCTCACATACATACATAGTACACGCACACATACATACATAAAGTCCACGCACACATACACACAGTTCACGCACACATAGGCCCTCATAACCTTCAAAGAATTATTG